CCTTCTCGTTCGCACATTAACATGAGATAGAAATTGTCAAGGGTATCTGAGTCATTTCAAATTGCTTTGTCTTACACTGTATATTACATATGTATATCATTATCAATTTGTGTTTCTGAATTATTGGGAACCGTTATTGGCCGAATTAAGGAAATCTCGATTGTGATTCTCTAACGAGATATTCGATATCTGTATATAGATATAGATGTGTCGAAGCATACGAATAATTTTCGATATGATACGATTATATGATGTATATGTATAGATCGTAAATACCCAATCAACAGACAATGTTTTTCAAATATATTTTTAATATTTGTTTAATATTAAATAAATATTAAAAGTATTTGAAAAACATTGTCTGCTCATTGAATATATCCGAAATTACTACATTTATATAGCAAAAGAGTTGAACACTTGTAATATCAATTACAAGATAATTACATTATAGAAGCGTTAGCACTTTTTCGAGATGCAGTTCATACGCACATATAGTCTATCAATAAAACTGCATTAGTTATATCATTGTTACATTGTCGTTAAGCAAAATGGACGTTGTCCATCATAGTACATCATCATTAATTATAATGCTTTCAAGTTTAGTGTAGGCGATTATTCAATATACTGTTACATTGATGTTTTAGATAAAATAGAGCTTTCTCACCGATTTTATTTATAGAAACTTATGTTACTAAAAATTATTACAAAAAAATGTTACCAATATATGAATCTAAATATACAGATAAGGATTTTAAAGATAATAGGGAAATATATAATAAAAAAAAAGGAATGTATACAAACGTTTTTATATTCTATTTTTATCACTGCAAAAATTTGTAATTATGCCTACATTTATGGAACCAACTTGTATGCATTTATGATTCACGTAACAAACGTTGAATCAAGTCGGACATCTCGAGGTTAATCTAATTTCACACGAAAACACGCTAATGTAATTCCTTCCGCTTCCTACTCAACTGCATTCCAAACCGCAAGAAGAGGCTGCGTTCCGCAAGAACTTCGCGTTTATATTCCGTTCCTTACTCGAGATAAGGACTCGGCCTTTACCATTTGTAGGTGTCTCAACCATTTCCCTTGTAAAGGACATCTAAGTGATTTGCATATTAATACAGAGAGATATGTTCACTGCTCGCGGTTTTGCCGGAGATTATATAAGTGCAGCATAGTAGAGTGAGCGTACGGTCTATTATGTGACTAGAATAGCTGCTGAAGTAGAGAGTGACGATAAAAATTAAAATAAGCATAAGAAGAATTGTGACCGTGACGAAAACGAATTAAATTTTATTATTCTAATTTTCGTATTTCAAGCAAAAAAAGAAATGTTAATTAATTTTTTGAAACATATGAATACATGGATAAAGAAGATTGTACTTTATCATATACGTATAATAAAACTTTGATGAACTCATTAAAATTTCGAGCAGACACATTTTTCTTTGTCAAAAAAAATCGCGATGCGAGGTAACATTTATTATCTCGTTCGTAGTACTCGTTTAATTGGATGAGAATGTGATCTCCGCGCCAAAGAAAAATTAAAAATGCAACGCAAACAAATTGGTATTCGTGTCGACGCGACGGTATATCATCGGTGAAATGTTACGTTCAGTGTAATTTATTGCCAATTATTCTACACCATGCGATACCTCCGCAAGTTTCTTACAGCGCTAATATCAATTCGTTAAGCGAGAGTAACGCGCTGTTCTCCTCGGCTGCACACAATTAGCAATTAGGTAATTCGCTATGTTCCCTCCAGCGACTGATGGAACGTAATTTTTATTTTTCATTGGCAGCAGTTAGTTGCTTCGCGCTGAACGTAAAAAAGATAATACAATGTACAAGTTCCAACTAATGGTTTAATCCTTTTCAGTGTCCTCATTTAAGTATGCATTCCTCGTACACTTGTACCGAATACATTTTGCTACACAGAATTTATTAACTTAATTTATTTAAATGAGAAACATTATTTTCAAAAATATAAATATACTCCGTATTCTGCATATTTTATTATATTTTTCGGATCATGAATAAAATCTATACATAAATTGTAATATTATACACAATAAAAAAATTTAAAGCAATAATTTAATTGAAATCTTAATACCCACCCTTTTAATATGCTTCATTATAAAATTACATCGATAAATATTTGTTAAAATTTTCTTTTATGCAGCATTTGGCTACTTTTCAATTATTAAACCATATTTAACTTCTCATTATCTTCATCGTAGTCACACATTTTAAAATTTCAATATTTATCTCTAAATAAAAGAATAGCGTTCTCAGTCAACATTTGTTTAATAATTGTAAATAAGGATTTTTTTGTTGCGGAATTTTCAATTATACCTCTCTTTCCCAAAATTCTCTTGCTAAGAGGAACTACACTAAGCGCTAATTCTCTTTCACTATTTGTCAACATGATAGCATGACCTACATCAATATAATGTGGCTGTTCATCTATGTCTAAATAATTTAAAATTAGTTATCTTCAAAATTAAAGAATTCTTATAACATATTTATGTTTTGAAAAGAATGGACCTTAATTTCTTTCTTGAAAAAAAGCTTGATTTTATATTGAATTATTATGCATTAATAAAATTTAGAAAAATATGTTTTAAAACAGTAAAGCTACTATTATAAGCAAAATTCATGAAAAAAGTGTTAAATTATAAAAAGAATCTATAAAGCATTCGCGCGTTAAATTAAAATAAAACGTAAGCATTATTGAAATTGTGACAAATCGTTGTAGTTCTGCACATAATTGTCAATTTGCGGATGTCCGTTGCTTTCAAATTTCTCCGTAGGCGGAGCAACTGCTGTGACATCGACAATTGAATCAGAAAATCGACTTTGTATCTACTTTGTTTCCTCTTCCATCGTAATTTCCTAACGCTTCTTCGCACGAGTTGCGTTTCTGTTTGAGAGAAAGGGAAGAGGTTCAATTACTTCCACGCTATTATTCTCGCCAATGCCTTTGGGAAACTTGTCGACGGGATATTTTCGAAGTACGATTCGAATCGGATTCTTGGACCTGACGTGTACAAATACACGTTAAAACGCTGTCTTCCTTTTTCCGTTCTCGTGCGTCACGATAACTCGTAATTTAATTTCTCATTCGATGACTTCACTACAAAAATAACAGAGTTAAATAACAGAAAGAATATTACAATCCAGTGATGTAAACTAAATATTCCGAAAATAAATTCTGAAACAAAAGAAATATAAATGCGAAATATATATAAACAGCAAATTTTTGATTAAATTATTGCAAAACATTTGAGGTAAAAGTTTTTTTAAATTATGTTGCATTTATGAATGCAGAAATTGTTCGTAGTATCACTTTTTCGCAATTTAATTCTTACTTCCCATTATAGCTAATAGCGTGTAGTATGAATATAATAAATTGTTAGTCCAACAATTTCTTGTTAAAAAAGAAAAAATATAGCAAAATGTTAAGAGCCACTTTACCTCGTACTATTTTCAACGAAGTACTATTGTTTTTAAACAAAAATAGATTTTTTTCGCAGACTCGAGTTTACACTGAAAACGAACACTGCAACAGCTGTCGCAGGCACCATACTGTATAGAGAACGCAGGCGGGAAAAAGTTTTTAACGTATATTACGTGACCCGGTTTCATGCAAATAAATACTGTTATATGCAGAGAACGTCTGCTAGAGGCTGTAACCCCAAACGATATCGATGATACTCCAAATTGGATAACGACATTCGAGAACACGCTCGATAAATTTTAACAATGCAGCTCGCGTTTAACATGAAGGTCGACATAAACGACCCGATAAAAATAGCACTTTCGTTTGACTATCAAAGTCACTATGATCACAATTAAGTTTTTTTCATATTCACTCTGCTCCTTTCCGTCATGTAAACGCTTTAATATCACCCGCATAAACGTCGTAAGTGTTTCGGTCTCTCCGAAAGGCTAAATGCAAACTCAAAAAATTTATTAAAGGCACATGACAAAGTGCTTTTTGATAGATTCATTTTCCGCATGATAAACGTTACATGTTACTGTAAGTATTAACTTGTCACTATGAAGCACAATATTAGTCTAGTCTGGCCTGTCCAATGCTTTCAAAGGCCAGCCCTTTAATTCTGGATTGAATGTTCGCCAGAGACACAAGGCTTCTTCCAACTTAGTGTAAAAGCAATATGTGTACTTTACTAGGACTCCCTTGTAAATGAAATAAGTGTACCGTTATGTTCGGGCTTCATATTTGGTCTTCGGCTAAAAGCAGTTCTGAGTCCGTCCTAATGAATTGATTTCCCCAAATTGTCACGAACTTCGCGTACTTGTAACGTCGGTATATAGCAGTAACAATAAAGTAAGTATCCAATATGTTGATTATTATCGTTAAATCAGCTTACTTCGTTTACTATTTAATAAAGTTTAAAATCTCAACCAAAAGTGAAATTAATTTTATAGATCTCACACAAATAAAGATGAAATAAATCGGTTTAAATATATACTTATCAATTTTACAGAATATTACTGTAAGTAGTAATAGTGTGTTTGTAGTCTGTCACTATTTTCCAGTAGTCAATTCTTTTACAATCAGACGCGTTTGTCATTGCGACATTTAATTTTTTTTCTGATTCAAATAATCTTAACAATATACAAAATATTTTAATATATAATTGTAAGTAGTATTATTTAATTTGGAAAACTGTACTAAATTCAATTAAATAGATGATATTCCAGTATACAATAAATATGAATTATTTAGTTTTTTTTCTTATAAATACGTATATGATATAAATTGTGAAAACGCATTACATATCGAAAAATAATCGTATTAACAAATAATACACATAAGTAGTCTCAAATTAACAATTAAAATGAAGCTATATAAATATATTAATAATTATTCATTTAAAATTACTTTATAAATACTTAAATATCGATGTATGGCATCAGTAGATATGCCTCTCCAATGAAAATATCCAATTTCTCATACTTACTCAACCATATCAGAATCCTTGGCCACACGACAATGAACACCACGATCCACTAGGCATTTTCCGGTTACAGGATCGGGCGGTGCAAGATTGATGTAGGGTGGCTCCTCCAGAAAGGTTATTTTGAGATAAAACTTCTCTGGAACGCCTTGCGGAGGAGTGTGGGTATTGCCCGGCCAGACGATGTCCTTAATATCAAGACCCTCTTTCTCCCAAGACTTCCAGACACCGATCTGCCGACAAGCAGGTGTAAACAAGTGTTATCAAATATAATATACCAGCTTTAAAAAATCGTTCTTAAACATCACATCGTTAGTATAATTTTGTTTTATATAATTAACATATTCTTTCCTAACTTTTGTTAAATAATATAAATAAAGATAAATGATAACATACTGAGAACATTACTTAACATAAATTTATCAGTGTGACAAATTTGAAAAATTTCATAAGAATTCTAACATGACATATTTGTCGTTGTAATTTTTTATTTAAATGTTATTTTTATTTTTCTCTTTTTTATATTATTATTAATATATATAACCTTTGATCAAATTATTTTTCAATTTCTTTTTGAAAATATTGTTAAAATTTTTTTTTAATTTATACATGATCCATTTAAATAATTCAAAAAGTATCTAATTTAAAAGTGGCAAACACAGCTTTTTTAATAATTCCTCACAATATTCAATAACGAAGACGTGCGTGAAGCATTTTACGATGCAACTTGAACTTATATTGCGTTAAATTTTGTATCGCTAGCGATTTATGCTTGATTGCGTGCAAAGTTGTTTTCAGAAAGTATCGGGGATGAAAGTATAACATGAGACCGAAGTAAAATTACAAAGTTTTTCCTGGATTTCTCTGACTCGCTACGTAACGAGTTTGATATGAAAGAAGGTTTTACTTGCACACCGATATAAATACGTCGTGTAATTCAACTTGCTTGCTTCTCAGGCATATCGTTTCTCACTATCGAGCGTGCAATTTACTTCCTATTCAGACGAAATTGTATTCGATAATGGAACGCCATTATTCAATGTCAATAAAAATTTTATAATACATCCATCATTGCTGGCGTTATCGTTTTAGAAAATTTAACATTGGTACCGATTGGTTCGATCGGCAGAAACTTTAGATACTTTGCTTATTGTTACGAAAAAAAAATTAAGGCAGGGTGAAGAGAATAGAAACATAATTACGTTCTGGAACAATTCTTTAACAGCTAAAATATAATTCAAGTAGAAATAATCAGCGTACAGTTAGCTTAAATTGGAAATTGTATTAATTCATAAAAAGAAATATGACACGAAGAATCACTTTGACCGAACATGGTCTTTTTCACAACTTATTAGTTTAACATTAATTTTATTTCTGCTTGAATACGCCTTTCCGTGTATTTAAGCAGAAATATAATTAGTGTTAAACCGATAAATTTAAATAAATACTAAAGATATATTGTTAATAACTATTTGAAAGTGTAGAAATAAAACAATACAGTAATATATATAAAATTTTTAAAAGTAATTCGTTTAAAAAATACAAAAACCGATTTCATGTTAAATTCTGACAATTCCGTAATTCTTGATGTAATATTAAGAGCATTGTAGTTTTGCTTCGAGCAATTTGATAACACGTGCTGTCGAAATGTGAAAATAACGCTGATGTAATTTACGCCAGTGATTAAAACCATTTGCACATATACCAAACATTTCTGTATGTTGAAATATATATGGTCGACCCAGGTCATGTAGATGAAAATACGTGACTGTCGCGTCGAAAAGAAGCGTGGGCGGCATTGAAAAATGCACTTACGCTAGCTTTTCTGCATCCCTCGCATTACATTCGTAAAAGCTTCGTCAAAAAATAAAATCTATCAATTTTTAATCGTAAATTCTCGCCGTTGCATTATGGTAATATCCATATAAAAAAAACAAAATATACATAAAAAGTTTTAATGAACTATTTTACTGGCATTAAATTTTGTATTTAAGAATTCTTTTGATTCTGCTATTAAAAATTGAAGATATTTTGATATTTTTTAAAATACATAAATAATTATTAAAATATAAAATCTCGTGAAATATCACGTAACTTTTACACTGTTATTTATTGAAAAAAAAATTATTTAATTACAAAATTTAATAAAAACATAAATTAACAACATCGTTACTATAATATTCTCTAAATATTAAAAATAAATCTCGTATTTGGTGTGTGATAGAAATAAAATATTCTCGTAATAAATCACTGATAGATATTATTTCTAATGATTAAAGATGAATTTATTACTTCAAATTTATTACAAAAAATGCTTTTGTTTTATGATAGGAAAAGGAAATTAGAAAAGTTCCAGAAAATTATCTGTTAATTCATAGTATCTGAAAGCAATATCAATTTCTGTTCTCATTACATATTATTGAGAATCGATTTATATGAAATATTCAGAATAAAATCGAAAATTATTCAGTGCAATATCTGCATAAAAAAATTGATGAAAGCGAAATTAAGATGTAAAATATTACATGAATAATGAATTCTAATGTATAATATTTTTCTGTAAAAATTATAAAGCGCAATTTAATTGTAGAAGATTTCTGCGGAATATATGAGACATTTTTTTTAATTATTTTTAAAAAGTAAATTATTACACTTATGTAAATATTATAGTAAGCATGTTTACTGTTTCAGATAAAATATGTACAAATCTATTTTTTACGCCCTATAAACTTTTCACGATATTTAAAATATTTCAACGTTATTTTCTTAAAAATAGTTATATACCCAGTATGAAACTTTCAGCAGACTGTATCTATTTCTGTCACACTTCATCGACTATTCATTGACTTTCGTGAGATGCGTTTAATCGAGTGCATTTGAACGCGAATTGATTTATTCCAAACATTCCAAAACGTTCTATTCAAAGAGGTAATTTTACGGCGATGTGAACAAGAAGTCAAACTAGGACAGTTTATTTACATCGTCAACATAACGTTCGCTTGTACATTTCCGTCATTTCATCGTATGCATTGCGCATTGTTGTTGTCAATGGTTATTGTCTCTGTTGACCCGCCAAAATTTATTTGTACCCTCATGTACTACAGCGAAGAAAGTAAATGACTTCTTGTAGAATACATAGCAACTTTTCAGGTGCGAGGGGCCAATAAAACGAAATTGCATTGCTCCAGTGTGAGTGTTTCAACTTCTGAATATGTAAAGTTCTCGTTGCCAATGCGCGGGAGACATCTACATATTAGAAACCAATACTGCACAGGGGAGTTGGTTGCACCGAGCATGTTGCCATGAAAATTCATATCACGCCCGTGTACGGTAGTATGATCGTACACTTTTTATCTCGTCGTGAGAAGAAACGAAAAAAAAAAAAATCAAAACGCACGACCTTTCAATCAAAATCCATCGTCCTCTCTAGGAAGGCCGAGGATCATCCAGGTGATTTATGCATGCGTAATTAAAAAGCTCGGGATTCGGTGTTACGTGCATTCGGAGCTTTTCGCTCGTATACCCATCAACTATGTTTTGCGCCTGTGAATTAATATGCACGCAGTCGCCGTGTTTTGTGTGTTTCGTTATGGAAAATCCTTCGTTTACGTCAGAATTACGACAAGCGCGTACGTATTTATGCGCTAACGTGGTTACGTAGGATCCAAAAAAGATTAACGAAAACGACGTCGAAACGAGATGTTCAACAAACAAAATCACGTTTAAGAGGATATGAAGAATAATCATAAATTTTAGAATATGATGTTATAAATTGTATAACAGAAATATCAAAGAAAATCAGAGGTAAATCATAAATGTATTATGTATCATTTAATCCTTCGATAAAACATAAAAATGATAATTAATTACAACAATAATTATAATGTTCATTCTAATAAGTCAAAATAATTTCTGAGATGCAAACATAAATGAACTATAGATATAAATTTAAAAAATATAAAAAAAGATCTCCCATCGTTTGTTATACCTCTTCACTTCTTTTTCAGATATCCAAGCCCGTAATCATTAAAATTGTATCTTCATTGTAATCCGCAATAACAATTAACAACGGGATAAATAATACGTATTTTCTTCTACTCTCTTGCTCGTTAAGCTTAAATTAAGCTTAATTTAAATCGCGGATATAACGTAGGTCAGTAAACCGCAGGAAAGACTCGGAAATTAAACTTTCATTAAGAAATATTTCGCAAAACGTCACATGCAATGATGCCGGCTACAAAGCGTCGGTGATGAATTAATGACTACATTAACATGCCATGAATTAATGAACAGATTACAAGTTCATTACACGAGTCGAGATTATACCGTGTTAACTGCGTACGTAGATACGCCATAATGCGTTCTTTGACGTTAATATTCTCTGTCGTGTTTCTCTCGTCAGGGCAATTGCAAACGCTCTTTTGACATGGGATTAACGTGATGTACCGTAAAATCTTGCGGTACATCCTAATTATCGTGTTCTCGGTGGTACATCATTCCCTAATTATAAGTTCTGCCGCCTGTTTAGTTTGTAACATGTTAGCAGTTACATCTTGTTAACCAGTTTGTTCCGCCGTGACGAAACCCGAAATTTCCACAATAATAGCAGCAGTTACAGTCATGAGAGATAGTGTAGATTGTAGGTTGACATATTGTAGGTTATATTGTGTATACGTGACAATTACTCAAGTACCTTAAATATTGTTCATCATATGTTAACGTTCATATGTTACTTTAAATATATATATATTTGTTAATTCTGTACCTATATTTTTCTTTGTACGAAAAATACGAATTATTGATGTGAGATGTAATTCAGCTTACACAGAATAAATATGGAATATGAGCAATATATCGTACAAGATTTCAATTAATTTAGATAAATAAATAAAGAGAATATAAATAATTATTAAATCAAAATTAATATATGAAAAAAAGTTTCTGTTACATATAAGAGATTTGTGAAAGCAATTCTATACGTGTATAGTGAGCAACAAAAAGTTATATAGGATATCCCGAATTTAAATATAAAAATTTCGGGAACGTGTAGGGAATCAATAAACTGAAAAAAGTTCTTTAGAGATACGCTCGTTTCTGCTTTGTTTTAAAAAATTCGCAAAAAAAGACTAATCATATCTAGTTTTCATTTTTGTAGTAATTTATTACTTATTCATTCACACTTATTTATTCATGTTGTCATTTGCTTAATGTGAAAATGAAAGATATTTTTCCA